AATCGGTCCGGATCCAGCTTCTGTAAAACTCCAATTTCGTCCGAATATATATATATATATATATATATATAATATTTCTTGTCTTAGGTACTATGTCATTTTCTATGATTATACCGATTTGATTATATTTTTGCTTAGTCAGCTCATTCGTTTAAAAATTTATATAAAATATGTTTCCATGTGCTCAATTTCTCCTAAATTTTATTTCAGTAAAACGATCCCACGGGCCAATGTAGACCTTAAACGCATTTTGTCTTCACTCGTATATTTCACCAAAAATGTTTCTGATGAAATCATACATCATCTATTTCAAAACGAACACGTTTAATTTTCGAATTCTCTCGTAATATACAATAGAAGATATATACAGATGCATATTATTATTATGAGTAACTCAATCAGTTCTTTAAAATTATATTTAACTATATAGTCTTATAATTACACATCCAGGTGGATCTATATGTATTTCAATGGGGTCTTTTCTATCGGATGATTTCAAACAGTCGTTGGTGTTTTTTTCCGATCATTATGGAAAGTGTTTTGAAGTATAGATTGTACTGACTCGAGACCATTACAGAATGTAGAAACTTTTCTCACCTTTCAACACGAAACCTCTCAACATGATTTATTCTCACTCGTATGTATTCCGAGAAATTTTTTCCACGAGGTCAACTTCAGCAGAACACGTTTAATTTTGGAATTTTCTCACAATAGACAAAAAAAGATAGATATATCTTGTTGGTACGAGTAGTTTTGTGATAGTCTAGGATACCATAGGAGGGCGTGAGAGTGATTCCAGTACAAGAGACACGGACAAGGAGCGACTCCTGACGAGCTTATGGGTAGGGGGTATAGGGATGAATCGAACACACCGGAATGAGAGAGATTCGAAGGCTGTGTAGGTATGGAACTACACAGTAAAAGATAAGTTAAAAGAATTGATTGAGCTACTCATAGAAACAAGATGCATCTACCTTTTCGGTTGTCCATCTCGAGAGAA